CAAAGAAACTATAGGTATCTTATTAATTCATTCTACTATATTTAGTTCTTGGCCTAAGGGTGCTAATGTAGCCTACCATTTTAGCAAATTGATTTGGGTGTGGTTTCTAATTTAAAAAAAATAAAATATAAGGTACAATAATAATTAAATGACATCATTGCATAATTTTAAGAACTAAAAAAAATATGCAAGTCTGCGCTAGCTATAGAGGGTTTGGCTCTCATTAAGAATATACACAGGGTATAATTAATGATAAGACAATAATATTGAAATTCATGACTTGAATATATATGTATAAGTATTTTTAAAAAAATCTTAATCAGAGTTACCAAGCTCGACTTCTATATATGAAATTATTTTTAGAAGAAAGCTAGCTTTTTTACCTTTCGAGAAATTTTATAAAATGAAATTGAATTCAAATTAGGAATGTTGAACACCGGACAATAAACCAAATTTATGACAACAAGAAAAAAATACTCTCTATCTTAATTTATGTAACACTTTTCATTTTTCAAAAATCAAACAGTTTAAGCTTAACTAGGAATTTGAGCATAAATTTTTTATTTTTTTAAAAAATAAAATTTATATATTTATAAATTACGTACAAAAATTTAAGTTTTAGTCGAATCTCTAGCGTCAGCCAGCCTCACAATATTATCCCCTGCACCTTGCAACTTTCTTGATTTTTGGCCACCCATTCTTCAAACTCCTTTATTTTACTTTTATTACCTTTACTTTTTTTCTTTTCTATTCATGTGTTTCTATTATTTTTTACGTATAATATATAAATATGTCTTTTAATTTAGTTTTAATGGTATTACATTTTTTAATTTTGAAAATATGTAAATAGACACTAAAATTTATATAAAACTGAACAAGTAGATAAACATATATTCTACGTGACAATTCAAACGAGCAAAAATTTATGCACTATACAAATATGACATAAATTTTGAACTAATTAAGGAGGACGGACCTTCAGATATTGTTTTGGTTTTAATAGGTCTAAGAAAATGATATTTTTTAATACTACTTAGATATTTTCCTTGATTAGTTTTTTGATATATAAAAAATATTACTCTAGTTCTATTGTTTATGGCATTTCTTCAAAAATTCAACAATAAATTAATTGACATAAGCTGTGGCTGTGGTGATTGTATAAAAATTCTAGAAAATTGTTAGGTGCTTTGTATCGAATATTTATATCAAATTAATAAATATTAGACATATATCTTGATGGTTGTATATACACTTTCTAAAAGTACTTAATTATTGTTAAACGATAAGCATTTTTTTTTCTTAGTTAGATGTATACACTTGGTGCAGTATTCTCTATTATCGCAAATATTTATTACTACCTTTCAAAGAGTTGACTTCCATTTTTGTTAATTACAAATCTAATCGGTTTATTTTCTTGTAAATAATTAGATTAAGATTGAAATAACAAGGTCCAATTGGAGTGGGAATAAAGAAATAGACATCATAGTGATGGCTAATTTAAAGAATAAAATGGCATGTAAACAGATGCTAAATTTGGATCAAATGATCTTGTAGACATATTCTTTTAAATCATTTTGATTCCTTTTTATGACTTTTTTCTTATTGTTCTTTCTCTCTTCATATTTCATCGTGGGATGACTTAATATTGCAAACGTAAAATAATAATATATTTAGCGTAATCTTATAAGTGAAGTCTGATATGAGGAGTGAGTGTTGGATACACAGTTTTACTTTTATTTTGTGAAGGTAGAAAAATTATTTTTGATGAATGCTCTACTCACTTCATGCATATAAAAAACAGTAGGAAAAGAAAATACAATAGTGAAGAAGACATGTTGATAATAATGAAGAAAAATAGTGAATAACAAAAAATAATGCAATAGTTGAAGCAAAAAGAGAATAATAAATTGTATTTTTTCAAAATGAAGAATAAGATAGTTGCTAGGAAGATGACTTACACTATACCCATAATTAATCATTAAGTGATTACTTTTCAAACTTATGAAAACCTCATTAGTAAAATTTAAATTTTCAAAAGTATAATTATTTAATAAAATAATACACACTTCATGGTGATTTCTTTAAAAGAGTGCATAATTAATTAATAATATAGAATTAGTAAAAGAAAATGGACAATAACATATTATTAAAAGGCTATACTAATGGTGAATAAAAATAACTAGGCAACAAATATAAAAAGACTTTATTATTATTTTATGATATGATTATAAGTGTGAACTAATAAATAAAAACAAAATAAAGCACCAAACGGGGATCAAAGAAAAGCAGACAAACATGCCATTAGACAAAATTGAGATCACCCATAATTAATCCATATTCAGTTCAATTTTTGCACTTTAACTATTTGATTTATCGATTATCAATTTTTATTTAACATTATTATTAAATTAATAAGATATTGATTATTTTAATCGATCATTTTAAAGATTATTCGTTAATTATTTATTAAATTATCGATTAATCCAATATTTTAAAAAATGAATGCGAAGAAGGATTTATGTTCGTCCATCTTGATTATAAAATTTTAAACTACTTTCAAATCAATAATAACCCAATATTAACAATAGTACAATACGATAATATTTTTTTAATTTAAATAATCGTTTATGATTTGATTTTGAACGAATTTCCTTCTATCAAACTCATAAAATAACACTACTACAATAATCTCACTCGACATGGCCACCACATACTGAAGTGCACGTTATTAATTACTATTAATTAATTATCTTCTTTTCCCTCATTTTGTAGGAGAATTAAAAGCTATTTTACCTAGCTCTATATAATATAATGTTGGCAAAGTCATTTAAAGGAGGAAATTAATAAAAATGAATTTATAACAATATAAATGATTTTTTACACCAACAATGTAATTTAGAATGTTTCTAGAAGATTATATATCTCATTTTCTAGGTAACTAGTTTTACTGATGTGACTATTACATCTTAATTCAATTGCTTTTGAGGTGATCAATCTCACAATAAATAGGCCCGGAGAAAGTGGTGTATACATGATTATATCCTTTAGCTAAACAAATTATTTTTTATAGACCTTGACTTAAGTAGCGCATATCCAACACTGTAAAAAAAAGAAAATAGAGCAATAAAGAAACCAATATAATGGACAATAGCAAGAAAACAACAATTGGATAAATGAAACAGAAAAGAGGCGATAGGTAAAAAAAATCAAAAAATAAAACAGTATGAGAGCACTTATAATAATAACTAGTATTATTATAAAAGGAACTCGATAATACTCAATTACCTACTAGCATTTCACCTTAATCTTCAATTTTTATATCCTCCCATTATTATGTACTTGGTAAACTATAAATATGCCATGTTTTGACTATAATATTATTATTATTTTTTGACAATTTGATTTATTATTAATGAAAGATTCTAGTTATAAAAAAGTTGGAGATCAAATCAAAGATAATCATAGAAATTATATTCTTGAATTTGTCATACTTAGAAGAGTATTGGCCTAAAAGTGGAGTACCACTATTAAATTTAGTGAATTTAATTTGTTGAGATAGAAAAAAAGCAAAGGGTTTGCTTGAAAGCCAATCGAATCTTGGTGGTTTGCCTTACTTGCTCATACTAGCATTTCTTGATTAAAAATATTACTTTTTTCGTATTAATTTATGTGACAAATTTTCTTTTTAATTTGTCTCAAATGAAATTATATTTCACTATAAAAAAAATAAATTAAAAGTAGCTACAATATGCGTGGATAATGTGTCGCTAAATCGCTCGTATTTAACATATAACTCTCTACAAGATAATTTATCTTTAATCTATCGCTAAATGTATTTAGCGGTGAATTTTATTGTTTGACTACGTAACTCGCTCGTCGTTAGTTTCTATTTTTAGTAGTGTCGATGAGCTGATTTATAGTCATAAAAAAATCTATCACACATGTTAAATCACAAGTTTTTTAATAAAAACAAGTTTTTTTCTTTTAAATTTCGTGTCAAGTCAAGTGTATCATATAAATTGCGACGAAAGGAGTAAGTAATTATAATAATAATAATAGTAATCAAGAATAATAGTTGTTTTCTTTGAGTCTAAGAAGTGATGGAGTGAGTGAGGTGGAGCATGCCATTAACGTGCAATGCTTTATTTGCTTGATGAGTATTTATTATTCATGAGTTTTGTTGACAAATTACTTAACTCTAATTAAATTTATAACAATAACAAACCAACAAATTAAACAAAGAAAAATCATTAAAGAGAGTGTGAAACCAAAACTTCAAAGTCACCAACAAATTAACATACTTTTTTGTTTTTATTTTTCAGTTATAACACTCCCTTTGGCCTTTATAACACTCATTCATTTCACCTTTACTACTTAGTCAAAAAATATTCCAAATTAGTACATTAAATTTTTCAATATAAAGAAACTTTTACCTTGCAATTTCCAAAGCCTATATACATTACCCCTTCATAAATAACTTGGTAATTAAAAAGGGTAATATATATACATTGCATTTCACTAATTAATGCTAAAATGTGAAATTTATGTCCATTTAATTTCACGACCTTCAAATGATCTGATCTTTAATTTTCATCTTATCCCTTGAACTTACGCTAGTATGACATAAGTTTTTTTTTTATTTTTATTAAAACATAAAAATTAAAGACCAGCACAAAATAGAAACAAAAATGCAAATGACCATAAAATCAAGAAAAGTTACTTGTCAAACTAAACTATATGCTAAGTGTAGTTAAAGGAAGTACAAGAAGTGCCAAAGTAGACTTCTACTATTTACTTAAAAGACACTTTTCTTTAGTCTAAAAATAATGTGAATGGGAAAGAAATAATTAATATTGTTCATTAACTTAGTTAAAAGTTGGGTAGAATATAATTTTGACTCGCTCCAACCATGTCCTTACCATTCATTACAAATATATATATATAACAAAAACCACTAGCTATAACATCACACTCTCTCTCTCTTTCTCTTTCTCTCTCTTTATATTCTTTCTTTCATCACTCTTCTTGTTCTTCACTTATTCACTTGTTTTTGCCTTCTTTCCTTGTTTTTGTAGTCATGGAAGTTTGTCAAAACTTCACCGATCGCTCGTACGCTTTGAAAGGAAAGCGCACTAAGCGATCGCGACCGTCGTCCCCGCTGAACACAGCGGGAACGACGACTACAACCATCACTACTACCACCGGTTCATCGATTGCTGGTGGTAGTAATGATGGAGGTGGATATGGAGGTGATTTTTACAATTCACCAACCACTTCTACTACTCAAATTTCAACAACTAGCACATCTGAGGAAGATGAAGATATGGCTAATTGTTTAATTCTGTTAGCACAAAGTGGATGTGGCCATAAAGTAGAAGAAGTTAAAAAAGAGAAAATCAACAGCAGGAAATTTGCAGAAATGGCCACTAGTAGTACAACTGGAAAAGCTGGTTTTTTTGTCTATGAGTGCAAAACTTGCAATAGAACTTTTAATTCATTTCAAGCACTTGGTGGACATAGAGCAAGTCACAAAAAGCCCAAAACCATACTGGAAGACAAAAAATCTGTCACTATCAATACTGACAGTACTGCTATTGCTGCTGGTCATGATAATTTACATGATCAAGATAAAGAGCATCTCAATAAAATTAGTAGTACTACAACTCATTCAAACAGCAAAACCAAAATCCACGAATGTTCAATTTGTGGATCGGAGTTTTCATCAGGACAAGCATTAGGCGGACACATGAGAAGACATAGACAACCACCTACCACGACGATGATAACTGCAAGCAATCTTTCAGAATCATCGTCGTGCCATATTCATGATGAAAAATCAAGAAGAAATGTTTTGTCTCTTGATCTTAATTTACCAGCACCAGTTGAAGATGATCACAAATTCGAACAAAGTCTAGTCTTCTCTGCAGCCCCTTTGGTTGATTGTTATTATTAGTAATTTAAAAAAGTGAAGAGATTATATTCCATATATTTTTTTTAGTAATTTTAAAAGTGAAGAAATAGTGATAATGAATTTTTAGAATTATTGTTGTTCATAAAAATATACAAAAAATTGTTTTCTAATTATTTTTTTGTTTTCATCTAGTATTGTTGGTAGTTTACTTTCTTTGAAATTCAATACTTTGAGTGAGTAAGTGGTTAGTGTTCATGGTTGCCTTCCATTCACGAAAAGGAAGTGATGATGTATCCTTTATTTTTTGTTTACTTTTCTTTTCGGGCCGGGCCAGGCTCGGTAGCAAATTAGAAATTTTACGAAGAATGTTCAGTTGATCAACCTTAAACCTATCTGGCTTCGCGAATGCTAGATGGGAGGTCGGGTCCGGACTTTACTCTTTTTATTTGATTTGAATTTAAATTAGTCGGATCAGTATGTTTCGGAGGTCTTGGAAGATGTGGTAGCTAGGCAAAAGCTAGGAGCATGGAGTGTGGGAGGGATTGCTTTATGGAATTGTTAGGGTTTGGCATCACCAGCACCACAACTAAAAAGTCTGTGGATTAGGTTCTGATCCCTATTTGTATTTCATCTTTTTATATTATATTTATTTTTTATGATTATTATTAGTATGAAAAATAAAATAATAAGAGGGTGTTGTTTCATTAAATGACAAATAATAAATGGATAGGAAAGGTATATGGATGGGGCTGGTAACAGCCAAAACCATGTGTATCCACCTGTATTATATACTCCATATACACTACTACTTTTCTTTAACTAACTTAACTTTGTTTCGTTTCGAAACAGATTCAAAATTTAAAGTTTATGAATTCTGCATTTCTTGTAGTTGTTTGTTTGTCATTGAACTTGAACTCCTGATTCGTGGTTTATTACTTCCTTCGTTTCAATTTATGTAAGCCGATTAGCTAGGAGCATGAGGATCAAATTACCTAATTTTCTACGTGAATTTAGATATAGAATGTTTAAAAATAAAATTTACATAAAAATACTGAAGTCACAATAATTATCAATCATCGAACTATTTAAAAGACATAAAAATAATCACGATAAAAATAAACTCATTTGACTCTCTAAACTACGTCACATAAGGTTTTAGAGCATTAATTCTTCTATACACCTACAAAATTCGAATCAAAACTATTGTATTCTACTAATATTCGATCCATACCATATATTGTACATCCACCTTGGTATTGATCTCAAGTAACCAATACATTTCAGAGTCGATTCTGTGAGTTCGACTGAACACATTGCTCTCAATACAATTTATATCCGTAACAAAAACATCAATATATATACATATAATAAGATTACGACTATGCTACAAGTTGTTGTGTTATAGTTAAGAAAATATGTGTAAAATTTATTTTTTTATTTTTGGTTATTTGTTTTATACCTAAAAGTTTGGATAGCTCTCACTAGAATAGATAGAGCTACTAGTAGCCATCAGCCCACCCCTCACACCTAATTCTTAAACTCACCATACCTTACTTTTCAAGTTTCTTAACTAACTTATTAACCTTTTATTTCAGCCTCAAATAGTCACTGCAAATCACACGTCACAAGCAGTTAGGTATGAGGTCTATAAAGTTATATGTTTTTTGGTTTATTATACGGTATGTTCTTAACGTAACTGATAAAGTTGTTGTCACGTGACATCAAATTTGAATTGTAAAAACAACTTCTTGCAAAAATATAGTCTACACTATGTATGATAGACCCTTATGATCAGGTCCTTTTACTTGGTGTATCGAAATTTCGGTATTTAGTACTCATATTTGGGGACGATTAATTAAATTCATTTTTTTCCTAGAGAGATTTCATGTTGAGGATAAAGTGGTTCTTAACAAATGTGACTTCATATTAGAAGCTCAAACCTAATATATATCTATGGTCAAGGATGAAGCCTGAAGGAATACTTATCGTTTCACTATCTGCATCTTGATCGGTTAGGTTTAAGGTTTTATACCACACTACAAATCTGGCCCCTCTTTTTCTACTTCTATATTTAAGTACATTGTAAGTATGACATTATCTAATTAATCCTTTCGTTATTACATGTTGTAATAGATAATTTATTTTATTAAGATAAAAATTCATTATACTGACGATATATAACTTAATTAGAACTATCTAATTAGGTTCCACTCCTAATCAACTTTTTCATTAAGGTTTCTCTTCTAATGACAAATGAAATAAGACTTCCATTTTAAGTTAATCTCACTTTCATACTTTATAATATATATATATTTATTTTTTTTATTTTTTTTTTTATTTTTTTTTTATTTTTTTTTTTTTTTTGAATATCCTCAACGAAATTCCAAACTTTATCATTTTTTTAAAACGGGTGAGGATGGAGGTGTGAAAATTGGTGTGGTCACTTAATTATATTCACTAATTCTAATTAACCTGTTTGTTATGTACACGTTTTGGTCATAATTTTGTAATCTTAGCATATATATATATATATATATTGTTTGACAAATTAAATACAAATACAACGTGTGTGTATGTGTATGGAAGAAAGTGGGAAAGACAAATATAAGAGAGATTCATTTAGATTTAATTTGCACATGTAGTGGGGGACTACTAATTTGTGTCAATCTAGTTAATTGCCTAATGTCCTCTCTTACCTTGCAATAGTGTTAATTCAATTCAATTAATGATTATTTGTTATTATAATAGTGGTTGATTTCGTGTGACCTATATAGATCACAGGTTCAAATCAGCTGCGAAAGTAAATATTAATGTTTTATATTAGGGTAAGTTGTCAAAGGCCCTTTCTCAGATCCTCTATGAATATGGAATACTTTGTACGCTCAGTTGTCTTCAATTTCCTTTTATACACCTCGCCTGATTCATCAAATACATGTTAGATATCAAAGGCGCAAAAAACTCAAATATGCCATCAAAGTGTCAAACTTTGAGAAAGGGCTCATTTATGTCATATGTTAGAAGTTTAGTTGATCTGTGTTATTTTCGTTTGAACACGCTCATTCATGTCATTATTTGTTAACTGAAAAACAGTTCTGATTTTGCAAAATCATTTTTTACACATGGTAAATTATGATTCGACTACGTCATTAATTGAATCTTTTCTTTTTTTTGGAAAAAACTCAAATATATCATCAAACTTTGAGAAAAAACTCATTTATAATATATTTTTTGTTTTTGCTATAATTTAGACCTTAATTTTAAAATTATTTTTATCTGCTTCATTAACCACTAGATCTATCTCATTGATGGATTAATGTATTATTGGATCAATTATCTAAGCAAGAAGAAAAACTATAGTATAAAAAGAAAGGTAACAAAGAATATAAATCATTATGTTGCACTGTCTAAGAAATATATAAACATTATTCTAAAGTCAATGAAGATTAATAGTATAGCTTATCTCTTTTACAACTAATTAAGTACTTAACTAACTACATTTCAAACACGTAATTAAGTATCTATAATTGAGGACTAATTAAGTCAAATACGTTTAGTCTAAATTAAAGTACTTAAGTTGTATAACTTAATTGATGAGAAAGTCATGAAAGTGGCAGTTACTGAACCTTAAGTTGTTGTTTGGTATTAATATATTATTTTATGTACATAGGTATTAGTTATGTCAGATTTATTTATTCGTATATTAATTATTCTACATTCTATTTTGTATAAGATAATACATAGAATCCCTCCTAACTTATATATGTATTAGTTATATGGATTTCTAAATTACAGATCGAATCTCATATTAATTTTATATATGAATTTACCTCCTAATCAACTACTGTAGTTTTGCGTATGTGTTCGTAATAGAGTTTCATACATGTCACAAACTAATAATAATAAACTATAAGATGTGGTGTAGTGGAGATGAAAATGTTCATTCAAGTCCTGAATATAAAAAAATCTTGATAGGAAACGTTATCCTCCAAAATGGATCTTATACGATATAAATCTAAAATAATCAGACTTCAATATGAGCATTGAACGACATAGTTGACATGGCATGTGTTTACAACTTGAGTTCATTGGAGACATCATGTGGACAACTTTGTTAAAAAATACATTGTTGAGGTGGCGTGCTCCCCAACTCGACACCTAGTTGGTTTTCTTGTATTCACTTGACTTTCAATTTCATTTCCTAAGAAGTTCTTTTTAATTGATTTTATATAATGCGAATCTAAATTAATCGAGTCAGTATATTTCAAATACCAGGTGATAGTGGGGGTGTAAATGGAATGACCAATTTGATGTGTTATTTGTAGTGTCTAAAGAGCCTAATGTACTTACTAAGCATTTATTGTAATTAGTGATGAAGTCAAAAAATTTATTAAGGAATTTCAAAATTTGAAGTAAACAGACGGAGAAAAAAAGAAGGTGAATCCAGGTGTAAGCCGCTTCCTACCAACGACGACTCTATTTGCAAAGCTCAAACCTGAGACCTCTAATTAAAGATGAAGTAGTACTTACCATTCCAACGCAATCACTGATGACAGACAAACATTATTTAAGATAAGAATTAGGTGATCTTGCTAATCTAGTTGGTCAGATATAAACACTTATCTCATTTTTTACATTTATTTCAAGTATATATATTGCATAATTTCCAAGTCTTTGAATATTCAACTTAGTTGCTTCTCTGTATTAGCCTATTAGGGGCCCCCAGATGATGACCAAACACAAAGAATTAGAGGATTAACATTGGCCAAAAGGGACACTAAGAAATAATTAATCTTGTTATCCTATCAGAACTTTTCAGCTCTTCCAACTTGACAATGGATAATGCCAAAGCAATTTTCATCACCCCAACTAATTCTACAAGTTCTACAAGGTACATGCAACTTCCCCCACTAGCATAGGTATCATGTAACTCTGTTTGCCAAGACTTGGACAAATGGAAAAAAATCACCTGGTGTTTTCGTCTACGTTAGGATCTAAACCTGAAACCTCGTGGTTCTAAAGTCCCTGGCTAGTTATAAACTTCACTTACCAACACCATGTATGTGATAAATAGGAATGGAGAACCTCATTCCCATAACAATAAGCATCATTAAAAAATCGCTTACAAGAGACTCGAGAGAAAAAAAAAACAGCTATCTTAAGGACTTAGGTGAATTTAGAACCAGAGTCGATGAGTTCAGAATGAGTGTGAACTTATCATATGTATGCATTTTAAATCCTTTTTGCATCCACACTCATACTTTGAGCCCGAAGTTATGAGTTCAGTTGAACCCACAAAACCCGGCCTAGATCCACATCTGCTTAAAGATGATTGAATCACTTAGGTGAATGATCTTACTGGATATAACCATTTCATTGGAAACAAATAATTGAAAAGATAGGTACAAGATTTGTATCTAGTGATGATAGTTGAAATAACAAGGCTTAGGATGAGAAGACTGATGTTACAGGTCAGGATAAATGATCTCAAAAGAAGAAAATTCATATACAAACTTGGGGTCCATATGTGGAGTCTGAATCTTGATGTTTTACCTTGTTTATTGGCATCCTCCCTACCTGACAAGAAAAATGGAATCAAAAAGAAAACAAAACAGCAGTTATGGATAAGAATTCATTCTCAAATTTTGTCACAAGTTCGAGCCCTGCGCCAAGAAACTAAGTCTAGTATATAAGGATAGAGGGGCGGGGCCATCATCCTCGAGTTTTGGAGGTTGTGGTTAGCTCAAAGGTTGGCTCCAGACTGATTTCTCAGTCATCAAAGAAAAACGTTCTCATGTTTATCGACTATGTCTTATCTTAAGAACTTAAAAGTTGCAATTTTATCATTTTGCTCAGGGACATTATTCAGGCATTTCTTGATATTACAAAGAAGCACCTAATCGTATGCAGGAACGTACAGGAAAATAATATACTCATGCATATAAACCACGACGAGTATTGTCCCCAAGAAAAGTACTAGTACATATCAAATCAAAAACGTCATTCAAACTTGATGCTATCAGGATTGGAACAGTGTGAGGAAAGAGTAAATACAAGTATATAACATTATTCAAATTCGGACTCGTGAAGTTGAGGTTTGTTTTGAAAAGAGTTGTATCTAAATTCGGACTCGTGAAACTCCAAAGGGTTTGACTTATTTTGCCGTCATACTTTGTTGTAGTTAGTGATCCTTTCTTATTCAGAATGCTTTGTCATTCTTTCTATAGTATTTTACCATGATTTCTTCACTTTCGTTATTTCTTTTTTCGATATGCTTTTTCTTGAGCTGAGGGTCTATCAGAAATCACCTATCTACCTCCTAAGGTAGGGTAAGGTTTGCATACATTCTACCCTCCCCAAACCTAACTTGTGGGATTACACTAGGTATGTTGTCGTTTTTTACATATGTCATACTTGTCATTACTTTGGCAACTTAACTTTGTGAACTAAAAGCCTAAAACTTTGGGCCCATTTAGGTGTTCTGTAAATGTAGGATTTGATTAATGTAGATTTAATGTAGCACCAAAGCCATTCACTTTGCTTGAATAATAGTCACTGGAATCAACAAAAGATTGTACCTTGGCCCAGCGAGCCGATACAGCAAAATCCTGACTTGGCATCAACTGCACCAGAAAGCCCCTATGCTCAATTGGCAAACACTGTCAACCTTACTCGAGCTGTAACTTCTGGATGCAGCTTCAATTCAGCAATATATTCTCCGGTTTCTCGAATCTCAGGCAGATTGACGATTTTCTTGTCCACGTCCCTACAAGTAGATTGCGTGTGAATATACAGTAAAGTAGGAACTCAATTAGTACATCTGATTTCCTTCAAGACTTTATACGACAACTTTTTTATCCCCCGTCACTTTTCTTCCTATTAAAAGTAGATAACAGATTTTCAATCCTTTCTTCTCTTTCTTTTTTCGGGGACAGAGGGGTAGTAGCAAGCTACTATGCGATCATCGAAACAGACATCACATTGCTTCAAAAACAACAGCTTTTGCTCTAGCAATAGACGAAAAATGGAATCAGAGAACATCGGTTTTAAAGTAACACCGCACATAGTAACACCGCACAGAAGGAATCACAAAAGAAAATAAGCACTGCATGAAAAATATTCGGATGACTTAACAAACCAGATGAATCAGAGAACATCGGTTTTCAAGTTCATGCAAATTCATATTACAGGATCAACCTTATGAAGGACAATATACTTTAACAGTCCTCAATGAACTTAAAGTAGTGATTAGTTCGCATACTACTATCTACATGCTATGGCAGAAAAGATTGGAAAATGGTACCTCTGTATCTGTGCTTTTATAATATCAACGAGATCCTGAGCAGTAACACTGCAAGAACGATGACGTCAAAAGGTAGATCAAATATTCACCAAGTTGCTCATCACAATTTAGTATTTCACTGACCTTCCAAATATTTGCTTTCCTTTCCCACCCTTACGCTTCACCTTGAAGGCTCCAATAGTTTCAAAAATTCGAGCAAGCTGTTGTGCCTCATCTTTCACCTGAAATCAATTAAACGTTTAACTAAAACCACATTCATTACGAAACAATTTATATTGGTGTAGGTCAACACTTTTAAACTTTTAGTGACTTGAAAATTAAAAAAATGTATATATTTTTCAACTTTCAATAGATTAGATTAATGAGAATTGTCTAGTTACCCGTTGTTTTTCAGCCTCAACTTTCTCGTCTTCCATCTTCATTTCCCTGAGAAGAAAAGTACATAATGTTATAAAATAAAAATGCATCCATTAAGTTAGGTAATCTCTCACTGAAGGCAAAGCACGCTAATAGCTATCAAAAATATCAAACCAAAATTTCTTCTAACAACCATCTCTAACGAAGCCTTCACCTATTTGTTTTGTTCTTTAGTATGAAATAGCAAATCCCTTATATATAAGACTTTTACAGGACTATCACACCATTAATGTTAACAGCTGGTTAGGCCTATTGCTCACCCAAAAGCTAAAGACAAAGTCAACCGATTATCCATCTTATGCAATGTAGGACAATGTATTAAAGACGAATCCGTTATCAATAAATTATATTTGGTTAAAAGAAGCGAACTTACTTAAAACCTATGATCATTAATCATAAGAAGCACGATTTCTGAGAACAAAAGTTATGCAGAGTTTGTGTACTGACCAAGAGTTATAACACCAAAATCACCAGATTTCTGCTCAAGAAATATTGAAAATGATTAAGCATCGTTTTCGGGTACGACCTTTGCACGAAGATATGTATAATCCATGGGTACGTTCACTTTTCAGCTAGTTACAAGTAGTTTAAAAGATCCCATAGACTAAGTATACCTATTTTATCTCCATTCGACACTGGTCAATCGGCTTAGATGAAAGATTAAACAAAACAAGCAATAGTAATAACATACTTCCACTCATCAACAACCAAGCAAAGTATTGTGTGTGGCATATTAAATAGTTGAACCAAAGAATCCTGACATTAATTATGAGGCACGAAAATAAGATAACGGACAGAAGAACTAAAGTCTTGAGTTCAACAATAAGGTTAAGTCGATAATTTAAACTAGTCATAATACAGAAATAGACACTCAAACTCGGCATTAACTAGCAAGTAAACACTCCAACTTTGAGTATGCACGTCTACACCTCAACTCATCTCCATTTAGTCAGTTGAACACTCCAACTTACAAAATGATCATCTACACACCACCAAAATGTATGTGTACGTCAACATCGGGTGTCCACAACACACAATGGAGACGAGTTGGACTGTTTAGTTGTCAGTTGAGACCAAATTGAGATGTCTAGATGTGAATACTCAACACTTAAAAGCATCTACTAACAGGCTCCAAAAGGGACACTTAAAAATCCATCTAACACAAGCAGAACCAATATTAACAAACATTAAGGGGTCCTTTCGTAGCTAGTAAAAAAGCAACTTATTCATAAATTAACTTTTGTATAAGTAATACAACGTTTGGCAGCTAGTTAGAAAATAAGTTATTCATGTATAAAATTAATGTGGCTTTTGATTTGTAATTCAAAACCCTACCTAACTAATATATATACTATAAGTTATAAGGAAATCGACGTATTATCTTATGCATGTTCTAGATGGAATAACGAATACCTGCATAATTCTACGAAGCTACCCAACAACCACTAACTCCAAAAAAATGCAGCTAATGAAAGAAGAATCTAAAAGGCAATGAAATCAAATGGCAAAAATCTAGTTCAAAGTAGAGTTGAGCAAGTTACTTGATAAGTGCAGCTGTCACAATTTGAGCTTTTCCCAATGGTAGCAAATAATTCCTAAAGAATCCAGCTTTAACATCCAAAAGGTCTCCCTTTTTACCCAACTGTGAAATATCCTCTTTCAGTATTATCTGTTCCATCAAAACAAAAAATACCCAATTCAGCTAGAACTCAGAAATGGACAAAACATGAGATTTTGACAATTATAAATCCAACCCATTAATCACATTTTCAAGAATTATCTCACCTTTCGTACTTTCTTGGTTTTTTTCTGAGCAACAATGGTTAATATTGAAGTTCTTTCTGAAAATTTCACTGTTTCAGAAAATGGATTTTTGGTTAAGCTGTAATTTTGGAGACAAGAAGATGAACCCCATGACGCCATAGCTAATTCTTCCTTCTTCTTTTCTTCACTTTTTGCTCAGTTTTTCTGAATTTTACAGTTTATAGCGTTATCTTATCTGTAATGGCGAACTGAAGAAGATAATGGATTTCTTAATGGGCCAAAAAAAACTTATTGGGCCAATTCATGTTAGGCCCGTTTCTTGGTCCAATAATAATAGCTTGGGCCATTTTCATAGGCCCGTAAATGTTTTCGGGCTTTTTTCTAAACATATAGGAAAAAAGTGAAAATTTTTGAGCAACTTTCACATATAGCAAATACAAAATTCATATTTGTATGCTATAGCAAAGTTTGCATAATTGCGCTCCATAGCAAACATATATATGAATATTTCGCTATACATATATAAAAAAAATAGTTGTATAATCTGCTTTGGTATACATATACAAAAAGATCAATTGTATAAAGTGAGAGAGGCGAGTGAACGAGCGAGACCTAGGAGAGTGGCGAGCGAGATCTGGGAGAGGGGAGAGAGGGGAACGAAAATATATGTATATATACAATTTTCTCTCGCTTTATACAAACACAAACGCACTTTATACACTTGCATTTGTATAAAAAACGAGAGAGGTGAGGGAGAGAACGAGAGTGGCGAGCGAGATTCACCAGGAGAGAGGCGAAATAACAACAGTTTGCTATGAGGTACAATTAAATCAAACTATATTTATAACATTTAATTTGAATTAATAGTTTGCTATTATATACAATTTTCCCAAAATTTTATGTGAAAATTTTATAAATGACATATATAAGACTAATATTTTCAAGTTATCACAGTATAATAATACTTTCAAGTTGTAATAATAAAAAAATTCAGGTTGTAAATTTTATTTTTAAAAAAGAGTTTTAAAATAATAGTAAAAAACGATTTTTAAAAAATCATAAAAGAAAAAAACGGATATAGTTATAGTCATTAATTTGAATACATTAAGGATAATTAAGAATTGCCATAAATTTAGGAGATTCAAAACAAAATATGAATATTTGTTTTCCTTTTTTTACTCAATCAGTTAAAAGTAATTAAAAAATCAGATTTTCTTTTTTTTCCAAACGTTTCTCTCTCCCTCGATTTTTTTTTCTGTGATTGTCGTCATTCACGACTAATTCCAAAATATTTTTGGTTCAAAAATCTTCATTTTGTTGTAATGGACTGATTCTTATGGATATTAATAAAACATGGTGGTAGATTGGATCCTTCTGGCTAGTATTCATTGCGATTTATTATTTGTATTTTTATACTAATGAAACGTAAAAAAAAAATTAAGAACAATGAAACTGAAAATGAAATTTTCTGATTTTGGTTGTGTATAATATATTTAAATTGTGAATTTTTTTGTATGAACCTTCGTTTGTTTCATATTACAAAATAATTTCTATGAAACTTGAATAAATGATGTTATGAGTTTTTTGTATACTGGTTTTTGTAATTTGTATACTGTTTATACCATGGATGTGTGCGTTTTTGGATTTATCTATGAATGATTTGATTATATTGTTTTGTGATAGTGTATGAAATAGTGATGATGTTATCGTTATAAATTTATGAAATGTGTGTCAAAAATAAATGTATGAAATGTGTTTTATGGTATGAATTTTGGTAGACTGTTTGGAATGATATTGGTATGAATAAGTAATGACTGGTGTGTATAAATTTGTGTGAGAAGTATGAAGTTGTGGATGAAATTTGTATTAGGTTGGTATGAAAAGTGAATATAAATACAACGTATTTATTATTCATTTGTGTTATGTAAGATTGACTGTTATTTTTTAATGAAACAGGCAAATATGTTGATTTTCAGATGGAGGGGATTATCTATGAATCTTTCAGTCTATATAGTGGACTAGTAAATGCGATAACTTCGCAACTTAGGATATATGCTAATATTAATGACATAGAGATTAAATATAATAGTTAGTGATCGATGCCCATCGGTTTGTATCCATAGTGATGTGGGTGTGCAAGTATTTTTGGATCAAAAGAAAGTTAATGTAGATTTCTTTACAAAATATTTGTTGTGCATAACTTTGAAGAATATAGCAATGGATCATCCAGAATCTGGAGTTGTTGTGGATAGAAGATATTGCGATGTTAGTAGACCATTAACAAATATTGATTTATACTTAAATAATTCAATCCGCTTGATAGGAATGAATTCGGATGGAGTTGTTGATGAAAATTATTAGATATACATTCATAGCGTATATATTAAATTCTAACTATACTTCCAAATAATTACATATCTTACTAGTTACCACTAAAGAGTTTCCTATCAATACATCTAGATACATGTGTTTTTGCTACCAGATACAGTAAAATAGGAAGAGAGGCAAGCGTGATAGTCATAAATCTCAGATACATGTAAATCAGACTAGATACATGTATTTGTATGTATCTGGGATACCAGATACATAAGAGAGTGGCGAGTGAGATGGGAGGTCGCGAGCAAGATTTGTCATGTATCGCAGATACATGCGAATTCACTTGGATAGAGTGTAGCTAGAACAAACTACACCTAATTTTGACCTTATGTATTCCAAGATATATGTATGATATATCTGGACGCACCAAAATCTAGTAAGATTTGCAATACTACAAACCAACTATTAATGTGTATCTAAGTAATTAACTCCTAAACTAATGAGATTTTTGTAAGCTTCCCAAAAATATACAACCCAACATAATAATATATATGTCCAATTTATGTGATGTAGTTTGACCAGACAGTAGTCACAAAGTTTAAGAAATATGGAAAGACTTTGCAATATTTTAAAACTATCCTTAAAAAAAGTACACTTGTAACACTCCAAAAAATTCTATGCTAAGAACCAAACCATTCTTCGTAGGTATATAGGTTCATACATGGTTGATTCCTAATTGTTCATAGATGCTAAGGCCCAATCATACGTGTGGAAAATGTATTGGATGTGAACAAAAGTAATAAGGGAATCCTAGCATATGAAGAGTTTTGTGGCCTAATACCAACCAAATGATAGGTCTTGAAGTTTTCTTTACAACGCCTTCGACCTTTCGTCAATCCAAATTATGTGCTAAAAGTTATGCCCATTTTACTCGGCACTACGTAGTGCGTGTTAACCGCCGCGCGATGAAGATTTTTATCACGCGACCACGTGGGAACGTTAGTGCTACTGGCATGGCCGTGTGAAGAGCCACACGACCTAAGCTTCAGTTGTGCGACCGCGCACGTTTGCTCTGAAATTCTTTTAGTTTTATCTTCTTATCACGTTTTGAGGAGGAGTGTTTTCGTTCTTTCCTCATTTCATAACCCTAACCAATGACTATTAACTTCCACTAAAAGCCTAGTTCAATAAGATTTCATAAGTTACAACAAAACTCTTCTACTCTTTTTTTTCCAACACTTTAAAGAACAAGATTTACAAGAATGCTAGAAATTTCAATCACATTTCTTCCTCAAACTTCAAAATTAAGATATGTAAGACTTCACATCGAAATAAAAAACAAACTTGCGTAAATATATAGTTATAATATATATATATAAAGTTCAGATGACATAGTGCTTTTGAAGTCTATAATATCATAATCTAACGGATAAAATTGTGAAACTTATTATGTTAAAAGGGACAAAACTAATTATGAATTATGATCGTGACAATTATATCCAAGTTGGACAATTTATACATGATATGAAAAGTTTTGGCGACGTGCATGATAACAACACTCATGTTTCATGTAGTTTAGTGATGCATTAAACATGCAATTCTCCCCTATTTATGTATATATTCGACACAAAGAAAAATATTTTTTACTAAAAATTGTTATTTGTTTTTTTTTATGCTTGTTAAGTAGTTAAATAAAATATTGTCGCAAGAGTATGCATATGTAATATGCATGTAGAAAAATACTATGATAATAAGGTGGAGTGGAGAGGGGGTTGGGGTAGAAAAGGGGTGTGGGTTGGGGTGTGTTTGGAGATAGAGAAGACAGTACATATGGAGTTCGGAATGTCATTAATGAAACTTTTTGTATTACTTTCGTTAGAAAATATTATAAAAAATTTCAGAATAACTAAACATGAAAAAGTTGAAAACTATATTCTGAAAAATGTTTTCCTCCTCCGTATGTATATACCTAACACACCCCTAATATAATGTACACATTTTTACCTTAATTTTTTTGCAATCACACGATGATAACTCTTATGACTGTTTAGCATGGATAGAATATTGGAATAAAAATACTTATTCGTATCCTTTATATATATCAAATCAATATATGCATGATATGTATTATGCACATACACTTATATTACTTGACCATAATTGAATATTATTGATTAATGTATATATTCACTATATTCACTTCATTAAGTCACTTATAAATATGATAATTAAGTTTTATAAATTTTATGTAAACAGTTGATACAATACGAATATTGGCTATGGAATAAAATATATTGACACAAAAAAGAAGAAAATGTCAGTAGTCCCTACCTAATAAAATGACATTTTGTGGTTAGATTCTCAATTCTCAAAAGATTTATTAAATTTAACCAAATATATGACAGCTCCAAAATTCCAATAAACTAATACAAATGTGGAAATGGTCAGTACATTATCTCTTAAATAAATAAATAAATAAATCTTTTTAATTTACAACTTCAAATTCATGCGTGAAGCTAAGGTTGACACTACACAACCAACAAAAATAGTTTGAACAAAATATTTATTTTTTCAAGAACAAAACGTATAATTGTTGTCCAAACAAGTTTGTGTCGCCACCAAAATGAATTGTGATGAAATAGTTGAGATAATCAGAGGTCTCGAGTTCGTCGGTTCGAGCTTGAGAATGGAAAAAGTCATGTCCAAGAAATAGACCCCGCAAAATGTGAACTTAGATTTAGTCTGAATTCAATATGGGTACTAAACACCGAATGAGGAAAAAAAAAGTTTGTGTCCCCCATAAGTTATTTTATATTAATGTTTAATTATAAAAAATTTCTTCCACCTTTCACAAGAATTTTGTCTTAATGTAAGACTATGGTAGTATTTGAGGGAGGTTTTAAGTGGTACTTGTATGATTTGAATCTCAAAGTTGACTTACATTTGTATCACTATTTCTCTCTGACTTATTATTTAATTCATTTCCAAAACGTCATAAAAAGAAATTAAAAAAATTACATTATTTTCTTCCCCTTCTTATATGATCAAAAATTTTGAAGAAAAAAAAAGTGTGTTTTTTTTTTCTAAGAGAAAATTTAGGGTTTCTTGAAAATGATTCAAGGGACAAATAGTAGTGCTAATAATCCACAAAACATACCATTATATTCATCAAATCATCATCATAATAATATTCAAGAAGATATATTTTCTTCATCTTCTTTAGTACATAATAATTCTCATCAACAACATTCATTTTTATTCAACTTATCTCTTCTCAAAGAGAAAGTTCATCAAGTTCAATCACTTGCCACCATGTTTATTACTCCGGATAGTCAAACAATTATCCATCCTCCTCCTGAGTCAATATCTATGATCATCGCGAATATGGGAACTTTGATCCAAGAAATCATCACAACTTCTTCTTCCCTCATGTTTTCTTGCCAAAAGATTGTCCTAGACTCTACCTCACTCAATCAGAATTCAAGTAGATATCGCGAACCATCTCAAAATGGTCATGGTCATGGTCAAGGTCAAGTTGATCATTTGCTTCAAGATTATAATTGGTATGAGGATAATTACAATTATAATTGTAACACTCATGAAGATAACAAAAATCATGTTACTAATAGTAGTACTATTATAGCTAGTAGTACTATTAGTCATGATAATTATGGTAAAGATTTTGGAAAAAGGGAATTATTGTTGAGTACTTCAAAAGGGAAAGTTGTGACTCATGAAGAAAATAATTATGATATTATTGAGTTAGATGCATCTGATTTATTGGCAAAGTATACACACTATTGTCAAATTTGTGGTAAAGGGTTTAAAAGGGATGCAAATTTGAGAATGCATATGAGGGCTCATGGAGATGAATATAAGTCTAGTGCTGCATTGAGTAATCCTATGAAGAGAATCAATGATTCAACGAGCGAAGGATTGTTGAAATCAAGTAGTAACACGATTAAATATTCGTGTCCACAAGAAGGATGTAGGTGGAACAAGAAACACGCGAAGTTTCAACCATTGAAATCAATGGTGTGTGTTAAGAATCATTACAAGAGAAGTCATTGTCCTAAAATGTATGTGTGTAAGAGATGCAACAAGAAGAATTTTTCTGTGTTGTCTGATCTTAGAACTCATGAGAAACATTGTGGTGATTTGAAATGGCAATGTTCATGTGGTACTACTTTTTCAAGAAAAGACAAGCTTATGGGGCATGTTTCTTTATTTGTTGGACACACTCCACTTATAAAAGAAAGTGCAAGGTAGCTAGTGCAACAACAACCATGATAAGTCGATAACATATCCAGAGTAGTCCCATAAGTACTCAAGCTTGAGGAGGGTAGAATGTACGCATGCCATAACTATCTCTACCCCTGGGGTAAAAAGGTTGTTTACGAAAGATCCTCAGCTCATATGAGCTAACTAGCTAGTAGATTTTATAATTTACTTAGTTGGTTTGTAATGTAATGCACCTATTTTTTGTTGTAAAATGTTGATGTGCTTGTATTTTGATGAATCGATGTAAAAATCAATTATCCTAGCTTGAAAGATATATTATGCCCTAGTGAAATATGATGAATAGTATAATAACTAATAGTATAACTTTGTGACCTTATATTGGAACTCTACCTAGTTATGTATCTCTACTTGCTTTGGTTCCATATGTCGAATATAATCATGTGACCATCTAATCATGAAAAAACTAAAACTTAATAAATGTATTACTTGTTTTGCAATGGACTTTTTTATTTTTATTTTAATTTTTTTGTGTTGATGGGCTTTGATGAAAAATGCCGTAGCCTTTGTGAAAGATGATAAATAGTACACCTTGACATATATGGGATAAGACACAAGTATTCCCTAGACTATAATCGAAATTTCAGATATACACCTTAACTAAACTAAGGTTCTATTATTATTGAATAAATTTATTTGTAATTTTGTACATCTTTTTGACTTACGTGGCATCCAAACATCTCCCACGCTCCTCAACTACGTGGAGACACAGAGTATACCACGTAAGGCAAAAGGTGTACAAATTTACAAACAAATAAATTCGGGGATAATAAGACCTTAGTTTATTTAAAGTGTGTCTCTGAAAATTCGATTATAGTCTAGGATGTACTTGTATCTTATCCCTAACATATATAGCTGTGTAACCTTATATATGTATTTTCAATGTGATGAAAGATGGTGGCGAGATTCAAGCTCAAATTAATAACAATAACATATCTAATGTAATCTCATAAGTGGATTGTACATTAGAAAAATAGAATCTAAGCATAGCTAGGAATCAAATGTGCAATGTGTTATGGAAGACACACTCAAATAGTAAAAAAATCAATTTACATTGACAACATATATAAACGTGTCATTTAACTTGTTATTAATTGTCATTTACGATTTTTAATTTTGAGTGTGCATAAATAAACACTGAAACTTGTATAAAGTTGAACTGATAGACACACACGTCATACGTGACATATACAACTCAATTCGATTGTATCTCATGCTAATTGACACATAAGACATGTGGGTCTAGTTATTCAACTTTATATGCGTTTAAATGCCTATTTGTGAACACTCAAAATTAAAAATCATAAATATTAGTTAACGAAAGTTAAATAACACATTTACGTAAAAATCGCTTTTTTCCCTTCCCTCAAAATTATGTTATTCTTATAACGCCTCACAGAGGCTTAATCTACCGTTAAATCACTCCTTTAATCAAACGGCAAAAATCAACGATCCGCGCAAACTACATACAACCAATAAAAATCCCCCACGTGGATCCTTCAAAACTACAAATCGACAAAATCTCAACCGTCCTTTCTGCGTTCAAATCAACGGTCCAAATTCACGATCCGCGTCACTCCAAACAAACCAATCAAAACTCAAACCCCAAAAAAACAAACTCTATAAAGTGTCCGCCTTTTCTTCTTCTTCCCTCCATCAACAAACTCAAATTCCTCAATTCAAATCTCTTTTTTACTCAAAACCCATTTTCAGATTCTCAATTTCAGTTCCAATGGCACCTAAAGCAGCAGCAGAGAAAAAGCCAGCAGAGAAGAAGCCAACAGAGGAGAAAAAGGCTGAAAAAACCCCAAAAGCAGGGAAGAAGTTACCAAAAGAATCAGGTTCTTCTGGTGCTGATAAGAAGAAGAAGAGATCTAAGAAGAGTGTTGAAACCTACAAGATCTACATCTTCAAGGTTCTGAAACAAGTACACCCAGACATCGGTATCTCAAGCAAATCTATGGGGATTATGAACAGTTTCATCAATGATATATTTGAGAAGCTTGCTCAGGAGTCTTCAAGATTGGCTAGGATTAACAAGAAGCCTACAATCACTTCAAGGGAAATTCAGACTGCTGTTAGGCTTGTTTTGCCTGGTGAGTTGGCTAAACATGCTGTTTCTGAAGGAACTAAGGCTGTTACTAAGTTTACTAGTTCTTAGATGTAATGGGGTGTTGTGGGGTAATTGGTATTTTGGGGAATGTAAAGGTAGTTGCTTATGTTTGGTTGAAAATTCTCTGTTAGATTTGTAGGTTTTGGTTGTACTTGAATTTAACAGTAATGAATATGAATGAATGTGTTTTCTCCAATGCAGTTGCTTCTGTTATATCTTCTTTTTGTATGTTATTGAATTTGGGTTTTTGCTTTTGTTGATTATCTATCATTCTTGTTGATATGAGGAAAAAAGAAGGAACAGACTTTTTGTGCTGTTTCTGAATCTTAAGCAAAGTAACAATACTTACAAATTAGATATCTGTTATATATACATGAAAGAAAAATTGTGTTGTTGCCAACAGTTGAAGACCTTAGATGGCATTCAGTCAATTTCAGCATGTACATAATCAACAAAGATGAAATTCTTCTGTAATTCGTGTATAACGTATGCCAGCCCAGCACTTATAATTGCTAATGAACCCAAGATAATACGTAGGTTAAACTCTGCAGGAATGCCTGCAGTTGCACAACATATCACTACTGCACCAATTAGTAACTTCTGCAACTTCTCGAATGTGTAGTAAGCATTTTTGCAAGATGAACATTTGAGTGTGTGTTGTTCGAATCTGTCCATCATCTGTAAAGTTGTGAAGTTTTAGAATAAGGAACAATTCAAGAAAACATTTAATTGTTTGTATGCTTTTGGTTAACCATGACTAGCTTGTTTGGGATTGAGGCGTAGTAGTAGTAGTTGTGTGCTTTCGGTGGCATGAAAATTTGGCTTTAGTCGCAATGGACCATAGGAAGAGTAGCAGATTGGAGTCCCAAGAATCAGTACCTGGCGTTTGGATAAGACTGTAGATGGCAGTGATTGATCGTCTGTGCTACCAAACCATTCAGGTTGACTATTGCCATGCCGCCTAAGCCAATTTCGGAAAGCCAAGACGAATCGATCAGCTTGAGTGGGTGTAAATGTGAGTTTTGTATACTCCTTGTTGACATCAGTACCATTCTCCTTTGACTTCGAAAGAAAGACTTTTTCTTGACCTTGAAGAACAATCATATCCCCATCATATACCTTATTTGAAGTCCAGTGTTCTTGCCATCTTGGAAAAACCTATTGCCAACACATCATGAAAATTCTTAGTCATTATGATAAATATTACCATTGAACCCTGAGAATTCATCGTCCTTCCAACACCCAACCGAATATTAAAGAAGTTCAAAAAGGCTTCAGGAACAGTTACAGCATCTACTAGAGGCAGAAGAACCAAGTAGTTCACCATCCCTACTTTATGTGACCTCTTGACCTCACAAGTATGGTTGCAAGATACTTAAGGAAAGTGTAGATCATTTTGATCCAAGATATACAGTTTTCCCACCATGAATATGAGCTTCTATCTAAATCATTTGCGGTGTCTCTTAGATAACAAAGTATCAGCACATTGAGAGAGTAGAAGTCATATGTCAACTTGGCTCATCCAGTTTACATTATTTCTAACTTCAATGGATACAACATGATCTAATTGTGTCTTACCCCAACTATGGAAGTGCTGCTGAAGCACATTAGCTCAGAGACACATTGAAGAGTAGAATTTCCTGAGATGATTGTAAAATGGAAGCATTATTACCTGCCACCAAGCAGGCCCAGGCACTGTAAATTGGAAGAAGTTTCGAGCACTACAAACAATTGACCGGGTCTTTCCTGGTGCCATAGGTACATTAAAGGAACAAATCCATATCACCCACTTCTGATCACCCACAATTGGAAGCTTTGTGTCGATCTCTATTCTGCAAAAAATTCCAATGAGATCTTAGTCATACTAATTGCAGCATGGATGGAGCTAATATTTACATAGAAAAGGTTATTCATACAAAGATATAAAGACATGTACACCAACAACATGGCGAACTTCCATCTATTGATGTGCAAAGCCTCGTACAAACCATGCAGCAGGTCTGGAAAGCTATCAACCCATGATTTCTATATAAAAATCCTTTACACTAGATGATCAAAACAATTGATATCATTTATTAACCTTAAAGAACCCAAGTCTTGAACAGGATATAATTCCCACAACCATAGAGTATAGATACATAATGCTACTAATGTTTCGTTTTGTTGGCAGATAACAGACTCTGTGAAGTAGGAGAAAGAGAAAAGTGATGCAAGCATATCTACCTAAAGATGATTAATTACTATTGATTGATACATGATTGCTTGCCTTGATAGTCAAGAAAGATGATCTACTTTAAGATGTCAAACTTACTTATTCATTGAGTAACAAGGTGCGACAAATTTTGCAGTAATTTTTGGTTTATCATTGTTTGCACCAGCAAAACCCCAAGGTCCAGATGCCTCCATCTTGAATGGCAAGGGCTTTGCTCTGTCTCGCCTTCCAGTAACCTGTAAAATATCAATAAATAAGTTAAAAGACTTGTGTTGTTGGACACACTAAGCAAGCTGCAGCAGTATCACTCTAGTAAAAATGCACATCTATTTATACACTGTATTCTGTTGTCTTATACCTGAAGCCCTTTGCTAATATTAAAGTCATTTAGCCACAAAAAGATGAAAGCTCTACTTCAGAGCTTTCTGAAATTTATATTTACAGATACACACAACATTGTCTGTTTAGGTATTTTTAAGGACTGTCTGGCACGTTGTTCAGTATCCAAACTCCAGAGAGCCTAATCCTGTCAGCTTCATCTTTTAAGATGGAAAGATCGAAAAACTATCCATAAATTGATAAAAGTAGCACTGAAGTCATAGAGTGATAGTTAAGATTCCCGTGGCATACTTCTAGCTATTGCTCTCCAAGTATGTCTTTACCTAATAATTGCAACAGAAAGTAAGGTTATGAAAATTTGTATAAAACAATGAGCAACACTCAAAAGCTACACCTTTATACCGTCCGTTCCATATAAAGAGAAAATCCTCCAAGGAACGACCTTAAATGCGTCATATATGTTTTGGCCAAGCACAGCGAGCTACTTGTCTCAGAAGCTCAAAAAGCACATTCTTCACATGTAAAACAGTTTGAGCTCAAATTTATATGGAACTCAAAAACCAAACAACCCCTACCTTATGAGAACTCAGAACTAAACCTGAGGACTATTCATTTTTAGCATGTAAGGATAGATCTTAAACTAGAAATTATGGCACACTCTGTGTGTGGGCATATTTGTAAAATATAAGTTGTTCATACAAGTGTAAGAATAAATGTAAATTTTAAATAATCTTAGTTTTTTGATAACTTATGAGTTGTGTTAAAAGATAAATTATTGAGTATTGAATAGCAGAATAGATAGAGGATTCATATAGCAGACAACAATTAGTATGGGATTGAGACATAATTGTTGTATGTAAGTGTCTAATGGTTTAAATTAAAAGAGAGGATAATCGCTTGGAAGTAGGAAGTAGAGTATTGTAAAAAGACCAATTTTATGCTTGTTTTAGGAACTTGAGGGCAATTTTGGTTCTAAACAATAGAGAATGACCACAGGTTTTAAGAGACACAAGATAGAAAATAAGATTGACAGCTTTGCTAGTAGTAAATGTAACAGATGGAGTGGAAATGTTTATTTCCCAAAGAGATGTATATGTACAGAAGAGAAAAGAAGAAGTCCCTTTCCTGCATAAACCCCACCAATATTTGTCAGTTCCCGTTTCTGATTGGCTACGATAAGTAACAAGTCTTTCACCAGCCTGACCTCCGCATCTCTGCTGAGTCTTGCATGAGCAAATATCCTATCCAAGTTTATTCCTTGTTCCAGTTATCAAGTCCCCAACTAAATACACCATCCCCTTTGGATGGGATGGTGTCTTATCTAAAAGTTCAATATACTACAAAACACTGTCTCAATGATATCACATAGCACTTTATCAAAAGATTACCTCCCTTTCACCCATTAGCTTAAAATGTATCCCTGAGACTCCAATTGGTAATTAATTGATATCTTCGGCTAATATAGCAGATCAACTATAGTGATACGGAAGGAGTCTCTATTGAATAATTCGGGAGTGGCTATCTAAAATAGCGGAAAAAATAAGTGCTTCAGTTTGCCGATTGAGCTAATCTTTGAAGGCCCAAATCAAGGTTAGTAACCAGTTTGCACTAAACTCCTTATTGCATATTAGGTGAACCCACTTCAGCTTGAGCTTTCTTGCTAGTTTGAACAACACATCATACTGGTCTAATACTGTAGTTATGCTCAACTTAACGTGCAAGTAGTAGAGCAAAATTTGGTCTACACTTGTAAAGTAGTCACGCTGAGTTTGAGTACTAACACTTAGCTTAGTCAACTTGATAATTAATTAGGGAAGAAGTAGATAAAACCTCGGGTCCGAAAGCGGATTCTTAATTATATTAGAACCCAAAAGGGAACAAAAATGTTGCATAGAGTACCTTGTGATGCGCAAAATCAATGTGAGAAGGATCAGAGACGTTCTCCATGAGAGTGTCATAGCCATAAAACAGATCACGCTGAATTGTCACTGTTGCAAACTCAGGCTTATCAAAATCTTCAGGCAACCTAGAAATATCCCATTAAACAACTAATCAAAATTATTTTAAATCCACTAAAAGTATACTAAAAGTTACCAATTATAATATAAACCAAAACAGCCTCATTATCTTGATCAATACATTCTCAAAATTATTTTTTGGGGAATGAAATTTGATCCTTCAACCACACATGAAGGACCTCAACCAACTGAGCTACCCTCTCAGCGCACCAAATCAGCCTCGTTATCGAACAATAGCTCAATAAAATAAGAAGAATATTTTAACCCTCAGGGGTTGGCCTGCTGGCAATTGACTTGAGCCTTGGGGTTTGCTCCCTTTCAAGGTCTCAAGTTCGAAACCCACTGGGTGCAAACAATTTCTGAGGGCCATCGGACTGGGTAAAACCTGAATTAACCGTGGTGCACTTGCGGGAAACTCCTTGCCGAGGGCCTGTGCACCCCCGGGATTAGTCGGGGCTCAAAGAGACTCGGACACCCGGTGCAAATCAAAAAAAAAAAAATAAGAAGAATATTTCAAACTAGTCACTATACTAAAAATAACTGATTAGTGTAATACAAACTTAATCCACTATAGTATAGATAACCGATTAGTATAATATAAACTTAAGCCACTATCGTAAAGATAATTGATTAGTATAATATAA